CGGTCGCCCGTCCGCCAGGGCACGCCGGGCAGCCAGCACCAGGGCCAGCACCAGCCGATGATGCTGCCGCCCGGCGTGCGCGCCCTCTCACCGCCGCGATCGCCCACCCGGTCGGGCGCTCGCGGCGCCACGCCGAATTCCAACTTGCCCCAAGGTACCGCACACATGGCTCTCTCTTCGTTCCTCGATGGAGCTGGAATGCGTAGCATGCTCACGTTTGCCGCCTCTCTCTCTGTGTGTTGTGTGTGTGTGTGTGTGTGTGTGTGTGTGTGTGGTGTGTGTGGTGCAGAGTATGTGAGCCGACCGCGGCCACGACAGAACAATAACAACAACGGCGGCACTGGCAACGGGAACAACGTCAATAATAATATTACTAATAATAGTAGTGGCCACGCTGGCTCGCAGCGTGCGCTCTTCCCTTCTCTGGTACCTCCCGCCGCCTTCACACATCTTCTAGTCCCGAATAATGTAAGTACACTCCTTATTAGCATTTATTATAACAATAATAAAATTATATATATATATATTATATATTTCTTATTCTTGGAGAGGGAACATGTTATAAATTCATGAAATGGATATATTTTTATTAACATTTGAGTCTCTAAATATGTCTTTTCTTCAGCCGCAGGGGATGCAGCAGGGCCTGTTTCCCCAGCCACCGCCGCCGTCCCCCGCGACCGGACGAAACATGGGCGGTCCGCCCAAGCCGGTCTACTTCGCCGGCTCGTCCACCCCCAACCTGCCCACCTACATGCCGCCGCCCCAGGTCTCGGGCAGGCGAGTGGGCCAGCATCCCCCCGGTGGTGGCGGCGGCGGCGGCGGTGGAGGCGGCGGTGGTGGGATCCCGGTGGCGATCGCGCCGTTCGGGTACCCGCCCTTCGCGTTCGCCTCGTCGGCGTCGATGCCCTCCCTGCCGGCCATGCACGGCGGCCTGCCCAACTTCGCGAAGCCCATGAACTTTCCCCCGCAGCCCTCCATCCTCGGCGCCAAATACCACGGTACGCACCGCACGCACCGCACACACACGCAACACACACACAACCGCACTCACCGCACACACTCACCA